TCTCAGACTGTAACCTGTGTGTGTGTCGTCTCCTCTTTGTTCCTCCATACAGATTCAGAAGTCTGCAGAGAGACCCAAGCCCAGTTAGGAGCAGCAGAGCGCCTCACCACACACAGGTACACAAGATGCTGATACTCCATTACATTCATCTGTTACTTTCAGTGGAGGATTTGAAGACATAATCACAACTTCGAGGAAATCAAACTTTGAATGCTGCGCAGATTTCTTTTGTACAGTTTCAGATGAAATTAGGCTACACCAAAATAAAAATCTATACTATTTGAAGAATACGTTTCCAGTGGTGGCTGTGTAGGATTGTTTCAGGCTTATGTGATCAAAACATTTCCAATGACTCCAGAGCTGTGTAAAGTCAAAATGTATTGAACACAAACATGTCGTTTTATCCACCGAGATGCGTATTTCTTTGAGTTTTAACCTAAAAAAAACAAATGTTCATTGTCGTCAAAATACTGCTTCCTCTCCTGCTCAACGCACATTGTATTGGCATGGTAGCAATCGAATGAAACTGACTCATATACTCGTAAAAAAAGAGTTGATTTATTCATAAAATGTCTAACCCATTTAATTGATGAATCACACTTCATGAATCATTATTTAGTTGGAGGATTTTGTTCCATCATTTTCAATGACTAATGACATCATCAAATATGACGACAAAGCTTATTCAAAACTTGATGGTCTTAATAAAAAAAGGATAAACTGTTCAGCCTCAGATGTTATGTATAAAACACAGTGTCTTACATTACATCATTCAAACGTTCTCTACCTTAACCTCACTTCCTGAACTTTGAATACTTGTATTTATTCACAGGATCTTGACCTATAGTAGAGGACAGATGGTAGTTCTGCCTGCTCAGACCTCCTCAGGGTCCACAGACACTGCTGGGCTAACATGTCGGCCACCATTTCATCCACCACTGCCACAAAAGATTGCATGTAGTAACTTTGTAGGAATATTCAATGGTATTTATATTTCATCCCATTATTTTTCAGTCCATTGACTATTGTGACATCAATTCATATTTAGTCTTAAATCAACTCAGTAAACATGCAGAATGTTCCAGAGCCTGAGAGGAAATGTTGAAACGACCAGTCAACAATGATCTAAATCAATGTTTGTCCTTTTTGCTTGACAACAAATGTATTAACAGATATGATAAATAAATGAGCATTTTCCTTTGTTGTCGAGGTTTAGGTGATAAGATCTATACACTGAATACATATACTGTACATGCTAACATTAGACCGCCAAGATATAGCCCCCACATAAACCCCCCCCTCAAACAGGGAGTTGTTGTTTTCATGCTTTGTTTTTACATACAAGATGTCATGTATTTATCGGTTGGGGGGATTTTCGAACCATTTCAGCCAGGCTATATTTGTCCTTTCTTTATGCTAAACTGAGCTAACCCACTACTAGCTCCGTCATCTTAACAAGCGGTACAGACCTTTCCTTCTAACTCTCAGCAAGTGGATAAGGGTATTTCCTTTTAGTGTCGAGTTGGGAGTGGTAAGATGGTGAAACCCAAACTAATAAAGTTTACAGGCCGCTGATTCATCTCTGACTGAGTCGTAAAACTGCTTTTAATTCAAACAATAAATTGTGATGTCTCTAACAGGACCAGAGGAGCAGTTGGAGAGAGAATCATGGCCATCGTCTCACCCGCCCCCCCCCCCCCATATGTGTTGGGCCTCGGTCACATGACCTCAGCGGAGTCTACGGAGAACTCTTGGCCTTCGATGTTGTACAGCCACAGAATGTCTGCTGATTGTTCTTTTTCGTGTCACATCACGCTCATTGATTTTTAGAAATTATTTCTGGCTATTTAGACAAATTCTGTGATTCTGTTGTAAGAAAATGCAGTGAACCGAGATCGCAAGAAGCATTTATGAATGAAAAAGTTAGCTTTTGGAAGATGCAATACCTATTTTAATGTTACTTTTTTTCATGCCTTTGTATTGTGCAATGTCATGGGTACTGATCGGTATCAACCGTGATAAACATTGTTGTTTTTGTTTTTAAACCTGGTGTCAGTCTGGTTATTTTTGGTTGAATGGTGACACAAGATGCTAACTTGTTACAGTAGTTAGACAGCTAGTGGGCTTTAAGAGCTTTGTGTTTGGACACTGATGAGACCGGTGAAACACTTCTCCCTAAATTGCTTCTGTGGGCATTGTCTACAGTATTCAATGTATTACATGTCTAATATATGTAATTTAATGTAATGTAAAGCGCTTTGATTACTTAGAAAAGTGCTCAAATAAATACCACTAATTATTTCTTTAAAGAGGTCAGGAGAATTGCTGAGCTGGTGGATGGAGGGAACTTCGGGATTTTGGCAAAAACATATACAACACACCCTTTAAGGCATAATAGGGCTAATTGAACGTATACATTTTGATGACCTTCCTAAGAACAGTTTGTTCTTAACAGGATCAATTCTAATCAAAGAAGGAACAGAGCAGCCCACTAATGAACAACCTCTTATTTAATAATACATTACATTCAAGGCAAATGATACATCCTTACCAATACATACTCAGCAATGCAATCATTGGCTCTCTAAATAAATAGAAATTTGAAGTCAGTGCACAACATTGAAAAAGAACACTTAACAGTCAACGTGTAACACAGCCTGCACACATTCCACATCCCAGAATACACCTCCAGCTAGTGCTGCTAAAACCAACATAAAAAATAGATCTCAAAATAAGTTATATATATATATATGTTCTCACTGTCTTCATATAAATATTGGGCTTTCAGGTCATATTTACAGCAACGTAGACTCTGATGGGTTTCTTCAAACGACAGAAGTTACACAGTAGATAAAGAATCACCATTTCAAAAATATTATACACACATAGTAAACAGTCAGTCTTCAAGATGCAGTATGAAATTGCACATTGTCGTCATGCCACAGAGGGGGCTGCTTCAAGGCTTTGGTACACAATGTCCTGATTGGAAGAAAAAGCTCTGCTACGGGCCCCAGGTCCCCCGGGAGACCCTCCTCCGTCAGGGTGCAGTGGGGGGGAGCAGATCAAACTAGCGAATCAGAGAGCTGGATGACTACAGTACACTTGAGGATTGGGGAAGACTCTTGGCACTTGGATCACAGGTGCAGGTCCGAGCTGGACGACCAATCGTATGCAGCCGTGTTGGACATTTTAAGGAGGCGAGGAGATAAAGGGTCACATGACAAAAGGGGATTGGAAACCGTATCAAAAATGTCCCAGATACCCTTCAGATACAAACATGAGCACTCTGTGCTGTCACTGCGAAGACACACCTGATACTGATCCACTGAACACTAGAGGGCGTTTGGCATTAAAAGCAGCTTCTTTAAATACACACGTTTTTTTATTTAGACCAACCCAGCCCAGGTATGTTTTATTTCCAGAGGCTGGAGGAGAATCAGGTTCCACACGGACAATTGCAACCACTTTTCCTGACAGTGAGCATCTTTTACACCGAGTCACTCTAAGGACAACTGGGAATATTTCATTGTTTCATACTCTACAGATCCCATGGAAAGACCCTAACCAACAATAAATGTTTCCAACTAACATGTGTATGTGGCTTTGCATCACTATGTGTGTCAAGAGCTTCACTGCCGAACAAAAACCCATCACATTTCCAGCAATTCAAAGTTTAAAAATGAGGGGAATACCTGCTGCTGTAAATATTAAGTACAGCATCAAATACATCTGCCACCCCAAATAGTTTTGTTTGTGTATCGCTTTAAAAAAAATGAAACTATATTTGGAGAGTCCGTTTTAAAGATGAATGTCCTCAGTGGGAACCAATGGGAATGAGGCTGAGGCTACAGTGAGTTGGAAAAGCTTAGACTCTTTTGATGACAATTATAACAAATCTAGAATAATGCCAGGCTTTTTCCTAAAAGAATAGACAACTATAGTCAGTTCATATAATCAATCTGTTCCTTTTGTTTTTCTTACCAGTGAAAAGTCTATAATACTTGATTAGTTGGACAGTTTGTATGTTTCCTTAGTCAGTGGGTTTCTCAGCTTAGCGTACTTATCATCTTGCAGAAGCAAACTGAAACAGGGATGCAGGCAGGATTTTTCAAACACTGATGTCAAGATATTTATTCTAAAAAACGGTAGCATTTAAAACTTGAAATGTGTAATATGTGTGTAATCATAGACTAGTAATTCCTCCAGTGGCTATTAAACGCCCCAAATGACCAGATATATTACAAAGCCATGACCTTAGCATCCCTAGTGGGGAAAGCCATGTAACTACAAAACAGAGTCGCACCACTTTTATATCGAAGTATGGAGGAAGGCGTGTGCTTTGCTGTTGTGCTCTGCTGCCACGTCACTCAGAACAAGGACTACCCGCTCACTGCCATGCTCAGGAAAGTTGGCTGCAATTTATCCCAGAATTCTCCACAGTTGGCCGCTTGTGGCGCCTCCGGCCCCTGAACAACTTAGGGAGGCTTTCACAGGCACCAGGAAGGAAATCCTCACAAAAAAGTGCAACTAAGTACCTTGGGCTGTTACTGATAAAGGCAACATTTGTGTGAGAATGAACTCTTGGACAAAAAGCAAAAAGGGGGGGAAAACACACACACATGCTTATAGTAGAAAGCACTCATGAAAAGGTAGTTGGCACAGTCCATTTGGTCACTAATGAAAACTTCTTCTTGGCTAAGTCTTCTGCTCCTCGGACAATGTTGTTTGTAAATCCCGCCCCCTGTCAACCACTCAGAACGCTCAAGCCTTCCTGACAAGCATCCAACATGTTCTGGTTCAATGCAGTATTGATAGAGCCAATGCTGTCTGGAAGTGTGTGTGTGTGTGTGTGTGTGTGTGTGTGTGTGTGTGTGTGTGTGTGTGTGTGTGTGTGTGTGTGTGTGTGTGTGTGTGTGTGTGTGTGTGTGTGTGTGTGTGTGTGTGTGTGTGTGTGTGTGTGTGTGTGTGTGTGTGTGTGTGTGTGTGTGTGTGTGTGTGTGTGTGTGTGTGTGTGTGTGTGTGTGTGTATTCATGCACGCACACAAGCTCTGTAGCACTGGGGAGACTCAAGGATGTGTTCACAGTGTGATCAAACTCACAAGCATGCAGACAAATCCACATGTCTGAACGGACACCGAGGGCATTCCATGTGAAGGTGAATGTAAACAGTTGAAGCTCCAGAGCCAGGCTGTTGCTGCGGCGCTCTGCCCCACTCCCAGGGCCTTCAGCTGGGCAGGAGGGAGGCCTGGACCCCCCGGCCCTGCTCTGGATAGGGGAAGGCCTGGAAACACTGTCTCTCTGGGGGAGGAGAGTGCCCCCCCCCCCCCCCCTCTGAATCCTCACAGTCCTCTACAGTCACTTGTTGTCCATCAGAGACTGGACTCTGTGCACCAGCTCCCGCGCTACCTTCAGGATATGTTGGACATCATGACGCTCAGCCATCTCTGTGGATCAGACACACAGTTAGAGGGGGAACTTTAGAATATAGAAATAAATGGATTTCACATCACCTGCAAGAACAAACTTTGCTTCCATAAGATCGCAGGCTTTTCACCCCACCATCGTGTGTGGTTGTTAGGAACAAGTACAACTACAGTATAACACTTCTGCATTCAGATTGTTGTTTGACGTTAATATTTATAACCCAATTTGTTCGAAGCACGCAGGTGCCTTCGGAATGATAATACTAATGCTTATGTGGGTATCCATTACTTAGTTAAAGGTAGGGTAGGTAAGTTTGAGAAACCGGCTCGAGATACACTTTTTGTTATATTCCATGGAATGCTCTTAACATCCCGATAGCAATGAATATCTTAAGTGTTTAGACAAAAAATCCTTAAAAAAATGTCATCTGTGGAAGCCGTAGTAGTGTAAAAAGCACAACCAATCATTTTAGCCGGCCCGGCTAAAATAACTGGATGGCCTACCTGCCTGTCAGCCTTCCATCTGTGCACAAACTTATCTCGTGCCCTCATTGGTCATGTGCGCGTTCGTGTGTGTTGGAGGAGGGGCTCTATGACGGCCCGTCCACACAGCAGCGTTAAAAAAATCTTGGAGGTGGGCGTATCTGAAGCTTGGGGATTTTTTGCGAGCAAGGCAATCACCAATCACATGAATCTCCCGCCCCTGACATACGAAGCAAAAAAGCCCGAAGTAAACTGGATATAAACTCCCCAAAACAGGCGAAAACATACCACTGTCTCTGCCACCTCCCTCCATGCCTGGCTCCTCCGGTTTGTATCCCGGTAGGTAAATAGGGACTGGTCATAAAGCACCGGGTGATTCCCTACCGCTAATTTCTCCTCCATTTTTTGGAATATGAGGAAATGACCTGCGGTATGTCTCTCCCAGCATACACGTGGTTTGATTGGCTAGCGCTTGAACTGTCAGATTTGCATACACAGGATTTGATTGGCTGACGCTTCCACCTCAGCTTCAAAAGTTGAACATTGCTCAACTTTGAATCCTGAAAATCCTGAAAATCTCCGCTCTGCTGCCCACAATGCAGTTCGGCGAAAAGTGAGGCAAAGTGACGTCACCCCATTCAAAGTGAATGGGCAGAAGCGTTTCAAGATTTTTTAACGCTGCTGTGTGGACGGTCCGTAAGGAAGTGGCAGATTTTCTCCGGTTGTGTATTTTCAAATTCTAGCGATCTCGAGCCGGTTTCTCAAACTTACCTACCCCACCTTTAATGCTAAGAATTGAAATTATTTATTTTAGCTAACTTCCAACCATTTATCAATTACATTCAGGTCGACTAACTATTTAAACAATGTACGTATATATAATATTTAGCTAATTATTCAACCTTTTATCCATTATTTTCAAGCTACTTGAAGAATTGGTGTTTTACTTGTAGCTAACCATTTTATCCATTCTTTTTAGCTAACTCTTTAAAGCATTTATCAAAAACTTTAGGCTAACTATTTTACCAATTTATCCATTACTTTAGACTGATTATTCAACCATTTATTCATTACTTTGAGCTATATCTCAACCATTTATTCAATTTATTATAGCAAACGTTTTGAACAATTGGTTCATCAAGTTAGCCATCACTTTTAGCCAACTACTTCATCAATGTGTCTAATACATTTAGCTTACCACTTTACCCATATTTTTGTTGGCTAACTCTTTTAAACCTTAATCAAAAACTTTAAGGTAACTACTTTTACAATTTATTCATTATTTTAGCTCACCATTTTAACCAGTTCTTAGCTAACTATCCCAACAATCTGCCCATTACTTTTAGCTAACCATTTAGCCATCACTTTTAGCTAGCTAATTTAACATTTTTAGCTAGCTATTTACAGTAAAAGAAATGTTTTTATTACTTTTAGCCAAACATGTAACTAATATCTATTACTTTGGTCAACTATTACAACCATGTATCCCTAACTTTATTATGAATGATATATCTCTAGGTGTAATAGGCGGGATGTGTGCTAGTGTTTATAGGTGAGGTGTACTACTTCATTTCAAAATGAGCGTTTTATGTAAACATCTGAAACATCGATGTATCTGAATCTTTAATATATCAACACACTGGGATAAAAGCTCTTATGCTTAATCCTTTCCTGAATGATAGAATACTCAAATGTTCGACCCTACAAACAGTTCTGTTAAAACAACACCCGGATTTCTCCACAGAATATAACTGGTGAGAGCCAAATGTCTGATGGCAGCCACGTCAGGATAGTGAGAAATAAGATCAACACTATTAACTACACACTTAACTTACCATTGAAGAACTTAATGATGTCAGTGAAGTCCATGTTGTTGTCCCTGATGATCTCACGGTACACTGTGACCAGGGCCAAGGCCAGAAAGAGGACGAAGTGCTGCGAGGAAATCCTGGAAGCCACCCAGATCACCTCCCACACCGCAAACACATCCTCGTACAGGAGCTCTGGGCGGGGGGATTTATTGATTAAAGTTAATTACGACTTAGTCCAATGGTAACAGAATCAGCAACAAATAAAACATGCACTGCTACTGATAGAAGCATTAAGAGATCTTGCTACCACGACCTCAACTGGATGAATACATGTTACCTCTTTTTTTTTGCTTCAAACTGTTTGCTGCCAAGCAATGATGTTCTCCTGCCCAGTGGGGGGCTGTTACTAAAGTAACTGTAGCAATACAGCATTACATAAATACTCTGTTACACATAAAAGGTATGCACATGTGTACTTAAGTAAAAGTACAAAAGTCATCAAATCTAAATATTTAAGTGCAAAACATATATCATACTGTGCAGGTTATGACTTCCAGCTGTGAAAAGGTTGTCAGCATCTAAGGACGAATCATGGCCTTTCTATAACCATTATCAATTATGAAATTATCAAATGTTTTCATATATAAAGGTCATTTTAAAAGGTCATTTTTGGCTTTTATTCAAGAGAGTAAAAGGTTAAGAAACAAGCGCTGGATATTTAAAACTATATTACACTTTTTTTGTTTCTGTAATGTATTCTACAGATATAGGCTATAGACATATAAAATGTGGCAAAAGGTGTAATGTTGCTGGTATGAGGTCAAAATGACAATAAACAGATTTTTATCACTGTCAATCTTTCACATATGTTTAATATATTTTGTATTACTATAGGACAATATTTTGCTCAGAGATGTAGGAAAGTTAAAGCATAAAGAACACAAATACTCATGTAAAGAACCTCAGAATTGGACACTGTAAACGTTGTAATCTCCCCTGAGACAAATGTGTCATTTGTGATATATGGCTATATAAATAACATTTGATTGATAAATGTGAGGTATTGGTTACGTTCCACTGCTCCTGCCAGCCAGAGCATTGCCCACAGGTGTACCCCCCCCCCCCTCTGTGTCAACGCCTAAACAAACACTGTGAAGTGCAGTACGACGGGCACGTGAACACCTGCCAGCTTCCCCTCTGAAACACTGCTAACTGTGTGAGTGTGATCAGCAGTGTGACCCCCCCCCCCGAGGCTCAACATGAGAGTGAGACTTAAGGATGTGACGGTCACCTCTCTTGAAGTCCAGCAGGAACCAGCGGTAACAGAAGTAGAAGTGAGTGTAATCTCCGTTCTGCTGCATCAGTTCAAACAGCTCCGAGTCCAGGATCTGACATCAGAGTGAGAGCACAGAGAGCGTCAGAGGGACTGAGTGGAGGTGACACACTCCGTCTCACACACTCTCAAACACACACATACACAGAGGAAGAATTATCCATCACCTGGATCAGGGACCTCATGTTGGCAAAGTGTGTGTCCATGGCTCCACCATTAGGGAAGTTGTGACTCATCCTCTTCATTAGCTGAGTGAAACAGCTGTAGGCCAGGCACTCTGAGAGACACACACACACACACACACACACACACACACACACACACACACACACACACACACACACACACCCACACACACACACACACCACACACACACACACACACACACACACACACACACACACACACACACACACACACACACACACACACACACACACAAACACACACACACACACACACACACACACACACACACACACACACACACACACACACACACACACACACACATGTTGTTTTGGCACGTAACGTATATTTCCCACTAGCATTTTAAACAGGTGAAAATATGACTGCACAGAGTATCAGTTTTCTTTTTACATTTCAAGGTTTACTTAAAGGTGGGGTAGGTAAGTTTGAGAAACCGGCTCAAGATACACTTTTTGCTATATTCCATGGAATGCTCTTAACATCCCGATAGCAATGAATATCTTAAGTGCTTTGACAAAAAATCCATAAAAAAATGTCATCTGTGGAAGCCGTAGTGCTGTAAAAAGCACGACCAATCATTTTAGCTGGCCCGGCTAAAATAACTGGATGGCCTACCTGCCTGTCAGCTTTCCATCTGTGCACAAACTTATCTCGTGACCTGATTGGTCATGTGCGCATTCGTGTGTGTTGGAGGAGGGGCTCTGTAAGGAAGTGGCAGATTTGTTCCGGCTGTGTATTTTCAAATTCTAGCGCACTCGAGCTGGTTTCTCCAAAATTACCTACCCCACCTTTAATATTTTTGAAATATCTGTTGTTATCACCCCCTAAATAAAGGTGTCTTTATAGGTTTCAAGCACATTTTCAGCACCCTAAAATAATTGTTTCTAAAATGCTGAATGACAACAAATATCTATTACAGAGGAATATCATCTAAAAATGTAGAAAAACACATGTTGTTATCTGTAATAATGCACAAATACCTATTGTAAACAAAGTGAACAAATATGTAAGATTAAGAGAGAAAGAAAACTACCCAGCATTCACATTTTTATTTTAAAATCAAATGTCAATGTTAATGAATAAAGCTTCTAACTAATAATAATGTCATCATCTGAATTAAGAAAGTCTACCTTATCAGTGTTAACTTGAACTGAACTGACACACACACACACACTAACAGCCCTGCTGGTGTTTGTTGTTTAATTGCTGTAAACTATACACAATGCTAATGCATAAAACTCATGGCTGATGTTTTTTATTATCAATTTGATTATTGAATAAGGCATATTAGCTTCAGTTGTCCAACAGCTACAGGTGCTATTGTATCTGTTCTGTCAGGAGATATCAAACAGATGAGGATGTGTTCTCTCACCATCATCCAGGATGACCATGAGAGGAGCCAGCAGGTCACACATGCCCTGAACGTAGCCCATCTCTAAATGCTCCCACACAAAGCTGCAGATACAAACACATCACATTCAAATCACCACCGATACTGCACATGGGGGAATGGAACTTATTACATTCCATCGAGTAATGTATATAAGTGCACATTTGAAAATTATTGTATTGTATCACTTTTTATAATTTGGGACATTTTACTCAAGTTTGACTTAAAGATGCACCAACTGATAGTAGGCCACTGGTGGGAAGCACAAACACAGGACACATGATCACCTTTTCAATTGACATGGTGAACTTTATATTAACAGCAAGAACATATTGAGCAACATTACCATTAATTGCATTGTCATGTAGTCATGTAACTTGCCAACATATGAACTATCTCTTAGCTTTATTATTGCCCAGCAACAACTCCTGAAGGGAAACAGCAGTAAATAACAGGGATGAGAGCTGTGAGAGTATATCAGGGTTCATACACTTTTTCACCAATGATTTTCAATGACTTTTCCATGACCTTTACCTAATTTTCAATGACCAAAAAAATTACTCTTTCTCAGCGGTACCACTGAAAATGGTTTATTTGAACATGGAACAGGAAAATAAGGTCTGCATATGAAACATGTTGTGCCTATCTAAAACAAATCAAATAGTAGGCTTACTAGCTTCTACACGCTAAAGCAACTCAAATCTCTCACCAGCAAAATACCTCGTCAGTTAAATGCCATTTTACGTTTCATTACTATACTGTATGTATTATCATTATAGTATTACTATTTCGGCGATTACAGTAGATAAAATATAAATTATATTTGATGCAACTTTAGTTACATTTCCATGACTTTTCCAAAACTTTGGGAAAAATATTGTTTTCCATAACTTTTCCAGGGACTGGAATTAGCATTTTGAATTTCCATGACTTTTCCAGGTTTTTAATGACCGTAAGAACCCTGGTATATCAATACAGTCAAATGATAACCTGCAAAATCAAAACCAGGAGCTGAAAGACGTTAAAAAGAGGTGAGGGTTACTTCAGAGTCAGTTGATGACTCTCTGTGGGTTTGTACTACAAAAGACACCCTTCACATTACACAGTATTTGATCTTGTGTTTAGAAAAAGCTATGCTGTATATGAAAGGTTGAAATAGTTCTTTGACATACCTGCACATGATGTTGCGTAGTTTCTCCAGGTTGGCTGGGGTGAAGTAATAATAGTTGCGGTCGCAGCGCTGCACATCTTTGTCTATCCTGTGGAGGTTCAGGGCCACGGTGTCCAACAGCTCGATCTGCAGCAAGGAAAGGTGACTGTGTATGTTATCACAAGTGTTCTGAAATGTTCTGTTTCAAAATGAAAATGAGGCTAATGCTAACTTATTACAGATTTGAGGGGAAATATACAGACACAAACAAATTAAGTGAGTAAAATAAACACCTTCTTTTGTATTTTGGGTGTTTTTAGACCTCAACATAAACAAGTGCAAGAAAAAAACAATGTTTTTGCCTGTTGTTTAGTCATGTGATGATTTCCCCACTTGTTTCTGATTGTCTCAGTCAGATTGAATAAACAGATATATAAACTGTTGACCTTTAACAGTTTTAAAGGTCAACTAAAAGAATGGTTGAGAAACAAACAAACGTGCAATCACCGCTAAATGCACTTTAAACACAGGGGTATCTCCTCCTGCACTTGATGTATCTCTTGTATCTCCTCCTGCACTTTATATGTTGTAGCTGCTACATTGTACTGCCATGTGGTAAATGCTTATATGCTGCTCATGCTCTTTCTGCATGTCATGTATTTATTTTTGCTATGTATATAAATGTCATGTTCTTAAATGTTGTATGTGAGGGACTACGGATGGAAATGAGCTCGTTTACGTTTTGAAGCATTAATTGTTAAAGTGTTCATCAATGTGCATTGTCCCTCTTCAAATAAACGGTTACATGAAAATGAAAATAAACAGGACAGAATATGCTTAACGGGTACTGTACTATGCTAGTTGATACTTTAATTAAGCCAATTAGGTTTTTTCTTCCACGTTTTCTGAAATGTTATTCTAAATAAGCAAAGTAAGCATTATCCAATGCTAACTTTTGGTGAATTTAGGAGAAATCTATATACTGAAATTGACTAAAATAGCAATAAATACCTAAAAGTATCTTTTGGATGTTTTCTTTCCAGTTTTCCTTTACGCTATTTTGCTTACTCACCTTGAGGTGAACTAGCTGAAAATAATTGACTAGTGCATGTAAAACTATGTTTTTGCTGTTGTGTATTTATGTCACAATCGTAAACAGACACACGTATGAACTGTACATACTGTGTATGAGGAGAGTGAGGGTGAAAACCCCTCTGCAGCTCCTCCGTTGGTCACCAGTTTGTCCAGCTGACTGCACAGCCTGTCCTCAGTCAGAGAGTCCTGACGCCCCCCCGGAGTCCTGCCCTCCTCCCCGCCCCCCCCCTTCCTCCTCCGTGCTCTGCCCGTCGTCGATGCTGGACAGGATCTGGGAATGAGCAGAGGTCACTGAGTAGTTTCTGGAGGAGGGGAGACCCGAGTCGGGGGAGTCAAACTCCACCAGCGGTCGCTCCTCTGGGGGGAGGACTGCAGGGGGAACCAGGGTGGTCATGGTGGGGGTACCGTCCTCTCCACTGGGGATCTCCTGGCTCCCCGCATCCGGCTCGTCCACCGACATAAACACCTAGAGGACAAAGGAACTTTAAAAGTGACAGAAGACAGCGGTGGAAATGATGAAGGGTGTGGGGTCATACATCGCACCACATGGATCGATGTGATTTCACTACTCAAGTCATGAATTTTAAATATCTGAAATATAAGTGTGTATGTATATATATATGAACATGGGTATAGCTTGGTATCTATGTGCGTATGAATGTATATTTGTGAAATCATCCCTCTGTGCGACCCTTGACGAAATATGAATTGTATGAGTGGAAGCAAGCCGTAGCCACTGGAGGATTCTTTTTATTTATTCTTTTTTATTTCAGTTTTTAAATAAAAAGTAATGAAAACCTTAACGTAAAAGGTAAAGAAAAAAGGATTTACTAGATACATCTGACAAGATATCCTTCACCCTTAGCACGGGACAATCAATGGATCGTAGAATACCCATGATGCAACATTTTTGTCCCAGTTCCTGTTTTGTAACACTAGGGTTGCGGTCGAATAGTCCATTTAGTTTAGGAACCTTCCTAACGGAGTGAAATGACCCGGAAGTCCCTCAGTGGCAGCCATGATAAGTGCCGTTCGAATTCTCTAAATTAAAAGGAAAGGAGGTTTCAAACTTCCTTTATAACCTCCTTTAGCTTAGGAACCACTGGACCTCCCTAACCGAAAGGAGAGGAGAAAATGCTGCCCCACAATGCCTTGCCGCGGCATTTGCCGTCACACAACAGTCGGCCGTTCACGGAAACAACCGATTATGAACGAGAAATGATATCATGAAAGTTACGGTGCTTATTAAGCATTTTAAAACGTATGTGGTAAGTTGCCAAAGTGCTTTGTTTTGAACGTTCATCAGTATTATAATCAAAAAGAGAAATATGAACGTTAGTTTTTACTGAAATGATCAAATAAAGTCAACATGTCACAGTCTTTACTGAGCTGTGTGGGGTTTGTTCAACTTTTAAAAGATGTTTGAATGGTAATATACACAGTGATAGATGTTAAGGACTAACGTTTATAATAAATACATTTGTATTGATTTTAAGATCTTTTCATACAATCATACGTATTGGGATCATTTGTATTAATGAGGACCGGAGGGAGAGGGTGACGAGCATAAGTTTCACTTTCCTTTTTTATTTCAATTCCAACTTTGGTCATGAAGAATATGTTTCTCTGTTGTCCCCGTTCATAAAGCATAAAACAACAGCATCAGAGCACGGTGCAGAGTCTCTAGATGAGTTTACAGTAGTCCCTCGTTCTTATTAAACATCCATGTTGTAGTCCGCTGTATAGAAAACTGTAGTTTCCATAGTTTCCCCACAGCAGCAGACGCACATTTATGACCTCCGCTGGCGCATCATAAACACGTCGGATAGTGAAAGTGCAGTCGGATTCTCTAAAGTACCGCAGTCTCTTCTCCTAAATCCTTTTGAATTCTCCTATCCACTATCCCTTAACCCCGTGACGTTTCACTCCGAGGTCAAGGAATAGACGATAGGGTTAGAACTTAGGAGCTGTTTTTTTGGAGTATTCGACCGCAACCAGGGTTTCTGTTTCTCAGACTTGACAAAGCTTCTCCAGAGCCACAGAAACTTTACAACTGTTTCACAGGCTAATAGAAACACAGTATAACTTGTTATCTTTTATTGATAGACTGCCCTCTAAGTAATCAAAATGGTGACATTTTATCACTGTAAAAAAATCAAGTTTTGGGAAAAATGTAATGTGCAAAATATGAATATTAGTGATATTAAACAATTCATTTCATGCATACCTGAATGATACTAGTAACAGCATTGCTTCTATTGCATATATTGGTCTCAGCCTCTGTCACAATTACAACTCAAATTGAGCTTAGTCTAATAAGGAGTCAGATGTTTGTCGGTTTCTTCACCTCGTTGCTGAGCGTGGAGTCTCTGTGAACGAGTCGCAGGACGTGGCTGTCGATGCTGCTGCCCGAGGAGAGCTTGGCAAAGATGGCCGACTGCATCTCCTTCTCCCTCTGCTTCACGATCACCTCACACGCTTTCCACTCCCGCATCACCTGCTGGTAGCGCTCGCTGATCTTTGCATCAATCTGCAGAGGGGAAAAAGGCATCAAACACACATTGCTTTTCAATAGTGTGTGCATGTGTGTGTGTGTGTTTATGTGTGTTTGTTTTAATGTGCTGTACCTGACTCATGTCCTTTTTGCCCATGCCAAACTTGTAGTGTCCAAGCAGGAAAGGCCACACCTCCTTTCTGATGTCATGCTGCACTCCGCCATAATAAACCAGCCTCAGCAGCTCCAGCTCCTTATAGTTCTACACATACACAGAAAATAACAATAGGAAGATTAACCCAGGAGAAGAAGAAAGATGACAGGAAGAAGACGCCTGATGGGAGCGGAACAAGAGAAAGAGGAAGGCATGAATAATGGAGCAGTGATTGAGACTGATGTAGGAAGACATAGATGAGCACAGATGATAAAGGACAAAGATATGAATAGAGTGTTAATTACTGGTGATGACATTGTTGGAGATGATGGATGATTACAGTGGCTCCTTTAATAGCTACGATGGTATCATTCTGCACTCTGTGATGAGACTGAAACTCATTAAACCTCCATTAGATTGAAGGAGAGAGGAGACTGCAGGAGCAGTAAATGATCCCTGACTTAGAATTATTATACAACTACAGTAGAGAAGGGTGTATTATATATGAGAAATAGAAACACATTAAAAAGAGGCAACTAAAGCTCAATTATAACGATATAGGCCTCCAAGTGCTCCAAAACTGTCGGGAAAAGTACGAAAATATGTGTTTTAAAGTATTTTACTCAAAACTTTCCTAGCCTATCTGTGGCTTAAGGCCCAAGCCCACTATATACCTGTGTGTCTTCCGCATAACAATGGAAATGGTTTAATGGTGATGGAGGATAGTGCCAAGGGGAAGGAGGTGAACGAGGATAAGGAGTGGACCCAGTACTGAACCCTGGGGGACACCCTGTGTAACACTGGAGCAGCTTGACCTGTGGTCGACGACTTTAAACTATTGTTGTTTGTCTGCGAGGGACTTTAAACTATTGTTGTTTGTCTGCGAGGGACTTTAAACTATTGTTGTTTGTCTGCGAGATATGCGAGAAAGCACGCAAGCATGACACCCGTGATACAAATGTCAAATGTTCGATTATAAGTCTCTCAGTGCTCCAAAACAGTGGGGAATATTTTACGGATTTTACCCCTAACCTAGTCCTAGCTCCTAGCCTGTCTGTGGCATTCAGGTTCAAGCTCACTATTTTTCACTGAAAAACATGCTAATCATTCAAAACAGGTTACACATGCTCAGGTATTGCAGCATAACAGCTGGGCACTAAAAAAAAACTCACTACTAATTGGGGACTACTTTCAGCTGCAGATTAAATCTACATATGAGAGTAGTTGCAGTGCAGGATGCTGTTTTTTAGAATTGAGTAAAAAGAACGACAGTGCATGTTTATGGCAATGAAGGAAAATGTCACCCAGCGCAACAGTGACGTTCATTGGTGTGTTTTTAATGTAACTTGCACATATATATTATTTACGTCTCACCTCACTTAATAAAATATTACAGTAAATAAGACTGGCACGGCCCTACACAGCACGAGGTGATTTATCTATGGGGCTTGATCAATGCTGAGGATGACTTGGCAATCTGCTGGCTTTTAAATTCCCTGGCCTGCAGGTTGGGGGGTAGAGGGGGGTCAGATGGTGCAGGGAGGCGATTAATAATGTTGTTATGTTGTTGTAATTCCTTCTACTTGCTGGCAGAGGTCGATCACGCTGCCATATTTGATGTACTGTGAGCCTCCCGGTGAACCCACCTTGCAGTCCTTCTGGTACTTGCTCCACACCTCCTTGCTGAGGCCCCCGGACGCCTCGCAGGGTCTGTCGGGGGGGACCATGTTGTGGTTGACCAGAGCTGACAGGTGAGTCCGCACGGTGGACAGGTGTCGGCAGTAGGCCAGCCCTGATGGACAGGTGAGACATGGTCAGACACCTAGCTGAGACCAAGCATCAGTACAGGCAGTGTGGAGATGCAGAAATTACAATGGTATGATAATACAGTAAAATCTATGATATCAAGTGATTATTTAACCATAAGCACGAACCCTTAGTAAACTGTGCACTCACCATTCATATATTTTGAATAGTAATAGACCAATGCATACATTGTAAAATACATGTTTTATATTATAGTACAATGTGCATATTTTGTATTTCTTATCTTTAAATATTTATATTAATTTATTTAAACTTTTATAAGACATTTTACTTTACATGCAAAACTGACTTAGTTTAATAACTAAAGTTGTAATTGTTGTATTGTTATATTGAGTTCAATACACTATCAATAATCAAATAAGGTTTTCAGATTGATGATGTAATTAAAAACAGCTCTCCTTTGCAAAACAATATTTAATGACAATATAAAAGCATTATGTAACCCAGCAGTTCATTACAGCCTTTATTACACATTTGACATATTTAGAGGAACACTTCATTAAAATGTGCTAACGTAATACTTTATCAGGCAGCAGCGTAGAGCCATATATTATAGCCATATATTATCCTGAAATTACTTTAATTGATTTTAAAATCAATTGTGCTCTCAACTAGAAGCCAGCAGTATGATATTGATACAGCAGGCTGCTAAACCCAAGCAAATACATTGCTGTTGTCTAAAGTAACACATATATAGAAAACAGCAACATGTTGTACTTACATCCATAAAAGGCTCTGGAGACGATCTGCCTCTTCATGTTCTGGCAGAGCATCTTAAGAGGAATACTGGTGGAAAGAAAATAAATCCACCATAATTGTCATACACTGTAAACATGCGCTCTTAATGACGAAAACCACCACCTTGGCTGAAAGGTGGTGGATTTCGTCAAAAAAAACATCAAGCAAAAACCCCTTATTTTTCTGATGGAGAGGTGTACTAAATGCTGCCTCCACAAAATATCTAGCTCCAAAGTCAATAATAATTGCCACAATGCGGCAACGCTTAAAATAATGTGGATTTCACTTGCTCTAATAAGTGTCAAGATTAAAGTGAACAGTCCATCCCAAAAAGATGTTTAGGTTTTTGCTTAGCTTGTCCCGTATTAGATCCTCTTTCCGCTGTGATTTAAATTTGATATTCTAATTCATGCAGCAGTGAATCATAAAATCTTAGTCTGAAGTCCGTTTCAAGTTTAAAACATTTTGAACGACTCTGTAAAAAATCAGTTTGTAGGAGTGATTTCTACGGAAGCCCTAAACATCTTCATTGCCCTTCAGAGCTTCCATGGGTCCACATCAAGACAATTTAATAATTACAATTGGCTTTCCAGAATTTTTAATTGATGACACCTCATTTTATGCTCATTAATGTAAAAACCAAAGTCAGTGTGATCCTTAAGAAGTATGTACATCAAATTAAGACTGACTGTAGCACACTGAAGTGAATCAGGACGTACGTGTGGATGTCTGCCGGGTGGATGCAGGTGCAGCCGGCGGGGAATTCGAAGGACACGTTGGTGCCCGCCGTGGAGCAGGACAGGCACAGCGGTTCGTGAGCGCTTGCTTCGCCCTGTTGCCACGACGACGGGCTGCCTCCGAAGCCCTGCATCTCCATCATCTCCCCGTGGTCTGAACCAGAGAGAGCGAGAGTGAGAAGACAGAGGAAGAGTTCTGAGACTAAATGGATGTGCTACACTCTTTGTTACAGTGCCTATGTTCTGTGCCTTACATATTATGACATAGGCCCCTCAGCTCAACCATAAATACATGTTTCATGTATTGTTGTCATGACATCAAGAGATGAGTAGATGGATGAAAGTTTTACACTCATGTGAGAGCTGGAAAACAAGCTTATAGAGGAAAGCACAAGTGAAGAGGGGAAAGAGTAGGAAGAAGGAACGGAGCTGAGGGAGAGAGACAGGCAGAGAGGATGCTGGGAGGCCATGCTGGTGCAAATCATTCAGGGGGGGAGAGACAGCAGCAGGAGAGAGGAGGAAGTATCAGAGGAAGAGGAAAGGAAGGAGCTGAAAGTAGAAGACAGGGACGAAGCTGACGCTCAGGCAGTGCGGGATGCATAAAGCCAGAACAAGACAAGAAATCAGCAACAAAAACAAACATGGACACCAGTAAAAGGGCACACAAAGGGGAGGGAAAAAACCATAAAGAACGTCAACATTCAATAAATGCTCTTCACCTTAATTCTTCAGGTTGGAGCTGATGACCTGTCATAAATATGAAGTTGCGTTTTTGGTAACCCCCGAAAGACAAATTAATGAACGAAAAAAAAAACGAAAACAGAAAAAATGCTGGAGTGAGACCGAACATTTGGCCTCCCCCCTCTTTACTTTAGGACTACACTGGATCAACGTGTGTTTTATTTGGGCGACCCCCGCTCACACGAGGACTCCACATCTCTACTACTGCGGAACCCCACAGGACCGTAATGAGAGGGGTGGAGGAGGGGGGCGAGGGGGGTGGGGTAAGGGGGGGGTGGCGGGGTTAGTGAAGAATTACAGTGAACAGCATTGCAGCGAACGACTGCACAAACAGAGGAGGAACAAGTCAGAGCAGAGATAGAGAGAAATCAAAACGGACAAAAAGGAGGAGACTGTGAAAGGATTTTCCATCACAAATACGTAGAAACACATAGTCGTTCTTTTAAAAGAAACAAAAACCATGAAATGGGTGCATTTTTTTCCCATGCAAAAACTGTCAGGCATGTTGCAAGTTCGAAATGAAAGGGCAAAAAGAAGGAAACAAGAGTTAAGTCAAATTAAAGGAGTGCAAAAAGCAAATGATCCAAGCGATTCCTGGCCTCAAACCCAAAAGGGTCGAGTCATGCTTCCAGAGCTAAACCCTCTCCGAACTCTAAACACACTGCAGATCACAGAATGCAAAGGCCTAGACTAGGTGACATGGGGAAGTTTGACAGACAGTTGGTGAAGTCGCCTTGTTTTGGCAACACTCTATAAAACAACCCTCTTCATTTGCCAGTGTGTGTTTCCAGTGTGCGTTAACAGCCGTGTGTAAGGATCCATGCCAAGCCTGCGGATTAAACTGTGTCGCTGAGCGGTGGGAAGAAAGACAAGAGACGTTTAGCAGGAAGAGTGTCAGCGGCTGCTGTGGCATTAACTGGATATCTGATCATATCTGCGACAAAGGCCAGGGACAGGAAGTTATTGTTTCAGGATACAATGCCCTGGGACTCTTCATTCCCTCCTCAAGCGGAGCAAATTCAGCTCATAAAAGAGCTGAACATGTAGTACATTTTTGAGGGAGTGGATGGATTTGGTATACCAGGGGATGATCATTTGTTTTAGAGATAATCCTTAATATTCTGGCTGCTTATTGATTGTGTGAGATGAAGACTTCCTCCTCTTCTTCCTGTTCTCCTCCATCCGAGGCTTCGTCTAAAATAGAGTGGTACAGTCACGAGTCCTAAAACCAGAATACGAGTTAGCATATTATCACTTACGGTTCTCTTGTTTCGAAGTCAAGGTTTTTTTGAACGTTTTTTGGTAAAAAAAAGCTTGAAATAAGATCGGTGGTTAACACAAGCTCAGGATATATCAACCCAGTCTCACGGCATTTCGTGTTATAGTCACAACATTTAATCTATTGATTCGTGTTCACCAACACGATTTTCCCCTTTTTTTCGTGTCACACAGAACGATTTTAAAAGCAATGTACTTCTATTGGTAGTATGTTTCGTGCCTGCACCACGTCTTTTTGTCTGGTCGGGTCTTGGAAGACCGGAAGCTGTGTGGTTAAAAAAAACATGTTCTTACTCAATATCAAGCCACGATTATTGTTTTTATTTTAAATCGTATAATGTCTGACTTTTTTTGCCGTCCGCGAGGAAAAGAAATGGGGCTCAGAGCCTCAGAATACTGATATCTGTATTTTTTAAATCTTTTTTTCCTTCTAATTTGTTATTCTTTTCTAAATAACACACTGTTATTTACTCAACAATAACACACAATTATCCTTGTTTTTATTTATTTGTTCAATTCTATAATCTCTGGCTTTTTTGCCGTCCGTCAGGAACTGAAATTTCAAAATAAAATAACCGGAAACAGACGTAGGCCTATAAGGGACATTTCGAGCATCATTGCGATACACACCCACTGAACTGATTACCCAAGATCCTCAGCTATGGTTTAAGCTCGGTGATTGGATGTTTTAGCCGCAATGCACGTTGGGATATGGTGTTTATGCGATATGAAGTCCGAAAAACATTTCGGAGTTTAGGATGGCCGAAGACACTACACTACCCATAATCCTCAGCTATCGTTTGGGACTACAGTCCCTTTGCTTGAAAACCCTGTGATTAATCTTCAAGCTCTAGGATTGGATGTTGGAGTGGCAGTGTGCCAAGGTTACGCCAAGTGTCAAACAGCACTTTGAAATGGAACGAAACCACGGCAGACTATCCAAACTGGACTCGAACGGGAACAGCCCACCCCTTCCTGTTCTACACAATTCATTATGGCAGGCCAACGCAAGGTAACTTCTTCTGCCTATTTTGTATTCTGTTTACCAAAATATGTCTTGAAATGTTACATTAGGAAAAATATTTTTTGAACTTAAATAAACCATTCGGGGTGACATCCGTCTCTTTTTATTATTATTAATTTCTCAATGGTTCAAATGTATAAAGTGCGTTATTGTCATAAAAACCCTAGCAACAATTTTGTGTTGATCAACCTGAAAATCCTTGTGAACAGAGGTAACCCCCGCCTACGCCACACTGTTGGGCTCAGCCGCGGGAAGCACACACACAGGCAGACGAAGCTGGGGGAGGAGGGGTCGGGCGGGAGGGGAGGACCTGAGGGGGCATGATGGGTGGGATGCAGGGGGGGACGTCTGAAGCCAGGGAGGTTGAGGTCTCAGGAGTGGTTGGGTGGGTTTGGTGGGAGTGTTAAGGTGATAAAAACCTTTCATGACATTAGGGTCTGTGAGGTTCCGCGAGCAGATCATTGAGATCATAGCATGGAGCCTATCTTCCTCTTCCTCGTCATCGTCCAACGACGGAGCGCGGCTGCCCGTGGTGTGGTGGTAGTTTATAGTGACTGCTTGCACCAGTGGGACAACAGAGAACACAGTTAGAAAAGAGCCAACCTGCAGACCTCAGGAAGAGCATTGTGGGAAAGACACCGTCCTACACCCATCATGGGAAGATAACAATAAGTATCTTTCGATCTTACATAAACAAAACCTACTTTTTCTTGCATTTACTTATTATTTATTGAATTATTTTACTTCCTTATTCCTTCATCGGGGGCCGGGACTTACGATTTTCATTGCTAACAACTACACCGTGGGTTTTGTGCATATTAGAATAAAACATTTAAATCTTTGAAATTCTAATTTGTGTATTCACAATAGAAGGACGATTATGTTTTTTCCTCTCCTGCCTCGTGTGCATAAACTAAACTAGTGTGCATAACAGTGTGGAAATGTGTCTTACTGGCGTCGGTTCGATATCCAGGGTAGACGATGCGGAACACGTAGTCAGCAGCCGTCTCCTCCTCCACGCTCCCGTCCTGGTCCAGCAGTCTAGCAGCGCTGCTCCTCTTCCTCAGTTTAGGGAACACTTTACCCTGCAGAACACAAACAAGTGTATCGAATTTACAAAATGGCCACAAGGCTTTTACTGTCTAATAAGCCAGATCATTCTGAATATATATATATATATATATATATATGTATATGTAATTAAAAGGAAACGAAGGTCATTGTTATTTGGTATGATGGTAGGCAAGTTGTTGTTGCGGTTGTAAGTAAAGCAAAAACACCTTAAACCGGCATTCTCTCTAATAGCTAATAGACTCCTCTGGTTACACAAATAAGTGTGATTGTATAGAAGTCTATGAAAAAATGACCTTCCTTTCACTTGATTTATTAGCTCAGTAAAAATATTTTTTTACAACAGTCTTCCTCATGACAGCATGGTATTTATTTAGTAGATTATGTTTTTTAATTAATAGTCAAATAGAAGACATAGAAGTGCATGCTTTAGGGCAGGGCTACCTTGTGATTGACAGTGTGAGGGGGTTTTCCAAGTTTTTGCCTTATAACTTTAACCCTATTTACTGTAATATGTTGCATTTCACAGCCCCATCCCCCACCTTCAATATTTGTACCAGCTCTTTCTCTACTATACTTTTTATTGGATAAATGAAAAAGATGTCAACTACCTTCATATACATTAGCATATTTATTATTTACAAATGTTGTCTATTCAATGTTTCACAAATAATGACACCAAATAAAATTAAAGGCAAAATGACAGCCCCCAATTTATTCTGATAGGTGTATTTATTTTAAGTCAACAGTTTAGTGCAGTCATTACACTGTCCGATTATTCTCAGCTGGTGGCATAGACAGGGAGACTGAAAGTGCCCAATGTGCGCACATCTTACCTGCACCTGGATTTAAATACAATCTAATATTATGTTTGGTTGCAAATAGAAATGTTAAAAAGTGACACACCTTGCCTTTCTGTGACCAGAGGGGGGGCTCCAGCTGACCCCGGGGTAAGAGGCCTGTTTCCAGACAGGAGAGGAAGGCCAGCAGGTGACCGCCGGGGGGGAAGTGGAGAGGCGGCCGCTGGATTCCATCCTGACTCACAAGAACCAGCGTACCACCACAATCAGCTGGGAGGTGGTGAAAATACATCAGGCAGGAAAAAGAGAAAAATAACATTTATAAATATATTCTATTATAGAACAAGAAAAAAAGGAGAAGAAAAAGAACAAGCAAAACAACAAGAAGAACAAAAATAAGAACAAGAACATCAAGAAGAACAAGAACAAGAACAAGAAGGAGAACAAGAAGAACAAGAACAAGAACAAGAAGGAGAACAAGAAGAACAAGAACAAGAACAAGAAGGAGAACAAGAAGAACAAGAACAAGAACAAGAAGGAGAACAAGAAGAACAAGAACAAGAACAAGAAGGAGAACAAGAAGAACAAGAACAAGAACAAGAAGGAGAACAAGAAGAACAAGAACAAGAACAAGAAGGAGAACAAGAAGAACAAGAACAAGAACAAGAACAAGAAGGAGAACAAGAATCTCCTTGAGGAAAGAAAATAGGTTTTCACTATGTTGTTTTGTAGTTACAGTTGAAATAGAAAATATGAAATCATAATTTCCTAGATACATTTTTGTATTTGCTTTGTTTCTCAGGGCTTTTTGATGACTATTATGCACTTATAAATGAGCCATTTTAATATTATTTTGATATGACTGCAGCTCAAGAAACACTTACAAACTAGCTAAATACGCTGATGTGGTTGATGCAGTGTCATTTGAATGCTCTGGAGGAAGGTAAACTCACGGCGCTGGTGGCAGTGGATACACACTATCTGGCGCAGAGGGACAGTCAGTGCGTAGTCCCAGTAGATACTGAGAGACGGAGAGGGGGAGAAAGGTGCAACATGAAGCTTCAGAGGCAGATTCAACTTATTCTTTCATTAAATGCACATTTTTCCATCAGGGGCGTTAGATCATATACTGTATATACCTCTTCTCCAGGTCACACTCTCCCAGCGTGCCGTTGATGAGCTGGTTGGGGGTCCACTTCAGGGTGAGGTGTTCTCCCGCCTGGTGGAGAGACAAGTAGCCTCGCAACACCTCCATGTCCTTCTTCTACCATGGAAGAAGGAAGAGGAAGAAGAGATAACATAGCATGAGACTTCAGTAATAAGGAGCATGAAACAGAGGGGATCCATGACACAGTTTTATCTAAACAACTGCTGTGAGATGTTCAGCTTAACCACCTGAAAGCTTGCTCTCTAATCTAAGTTTAACATTTTGGGGAAAATGCTTCTTCTCTTTTTTATGGGAAGATCAATACTTTTGATTTCAATCTTCTTATAACTCATAAAGTAAGCAAATTAGCAGAATTCCCAACATTTGGACTATTTACTTCAATCATTTCATATTTTAGCCTGAATAAACAACACAAACATATTTACGATTCCATCAATATAATAATATAATATAACATGTGATATGATACAATACACTACGATATGAAACAATACATACAATACAAAATATACAATAAGATAAGACAATGTACTATCAGTCCCAATACTATACAATACAAAACAATAAGATACGCTACTTGACAAACATTTGACATACATGTGTGTACGGATGCACTCTGAACACACATGTAACTTGTGCTCAGAGTGAAAGAAGAAAAGTCAAATGGTTTAAGTCCAAATTAGAACATGGGGTAGTGGTGCACTTCAGACTCTTGTGGCCAAAATGAGTATTAAAACAAGTTAGTCAAGTCATACACAGGAGAAAAAAACGAATTTAATCTAACAAACTATTTTTCTCTTGTTCTTACTTGCCTGTCAGTGCTTGACATTTCTGTTTACATTTGAGTCTAACTAAAGCTCTGTTTAATCAAGATTTTGATCTTAACTGACTATGGTTTCTCCTAGAAAATAACCCTCAGATCACGTTATTTAAAAAAGGTTTGCCGGGCCTCTTACTTTGATCTACAATCATTTAATAGAAAGTTTATCAAATTCTAACTAAATAAGTTCTGAGATGCTGTAAATACTGTATATGTCACTGCGTGGCGGACTCTAAGGACATGCCGATGGTGAAACACTAGCAATCAACTTCTGGTATTTTCCGTGATGTTTTACCTTCACACCAACACACTAGTAATTGAACTGTGCCAGTGTGTTACTATGGAAACATAGAATCTTGAACTGTTTCCAACTTTTTTCTTGTTGAGGTTGTTAGATGGTAAATAAACATCACACACCTTGTGTAGCCAAAAAAGAGAAGTTGTTTGTCTTTATTTTCCTCCCAACTTCTAATATACAACGTGGAATATATACAGAAACGACGGTATTATTTCTGAAGCAGGGAGTAGAATCATTTACCATGCGTAGATTCATCTGTATGTGCACTCAGTGTCAGCGTGGCTCTATCTGAGGCAGGGGGTTGTGGGAGGTGAATATGTGCTCATTATACATCACCAGGGCCAAACACGCTGGAGCTACTTGGCAGAGCACATAGCCAGCAGGAGAAAGGCAGCTTTCATTGCAAAGGTCACACACACTAAATACTGTGTTTGTGTGCAGCACAATGAGGAATACAAATAATCATCATTTGCAATTTATCAGTACACCAGAGTGCTGTGTGATCGGCATGTACTGTACTTTACGTAGGCTTCTAAGGTGGGTGTCTGCCACAGAGCAACCATAGATTTAAAAATGATTATATAAGGTTATAGTAAATGTATCTGTATCTGTACTTGTATTTCATATTTTTGTATTGTGTTATTATTTCAGCGCCTGTGCATGACTTTTTCTCTACTTGAGACCTATGATATATTTATATTTATTTAGGATTTGACACTTATTTATCATCAAGTTTATCGTAATTTAGTTATTTGTACCAAGAACAATGGAATGGGATTCCTCACTGGAGGATATATATTTCTTAACTAATCAATTATTTACTAACTTTTTGTGATCTTGAAAAATCATAATTAAAAAACATTTTTTATATCTTTTAAATATCTAACTCCTAATAATACAAGGCAGGGGAATGGACTTCTGCTTTAGGTGCTCACTGCACTGAAAAGATATATTTTAAATGTCAACATTTCAAGAGAGTGATCATTTAAAGAAAACACTGTCGATTGATTGATTTTTAGGGAAACAGCTCCAATGAAAACTGAAAACAATTAAAAGATACAAGAAAATGTATTTAACTGCACATCTGATTCATTAAATATGCATGGCCTACTGATGTGTTCTACTTACTCAATTAGTCACTTAGTGGAGACAGATATCATGAAGGCCAACTATTTAGCAGCTCAAATATTATCTTTGTCAAAAAGCACATTATTTAAACGAGACAAAGAAAGTGCGATTACGAACAGACATTCCATGTATTTGCATATGGAGCTGGTTCTAAAGGGTCGAACCAACTTTAGGCACATTGTTTAGTTAGTAGTCAGACAGTAGTGATACTGTGAATAAAAGCTGGTCACAGAGATCCTACCGGTTGCACCAGGACGTTGTTCTTGCCGTAGAGGAGGTGTGTTCTGGAGTTTTGGTGCAGAGACTCCACGTACTCCCGCGCTGATGCAGCAAACCTGTCCTCTGACATGCTGCCGCTGGACTGCCTCTTACGGATCTAAATAAGAGAAGAGTTTTAACAGCCAACTCATCTAATTTCACAACACCATCCAGCAACAGCTCTTGAGTGTGACCGAGGAGCACCCCCACACTCACCCCCAGAGCGGGCCGGCGGCCAGCAGGGGTGTCTTGGCCCCGATGGGCCCCGTGGATACGGTGGCGCTGAACTAGCTCGTTGGCTGAGGGGTCAGTCCAGAAGTGATCGGAGGTCTTCAGTTTGGTGTACTCCAGAGCGCAGGGCCCCACTAAGAACACAGCACAGACACACACACTTTAACACATCCAGTAACCGACTACTAACAATACCAAAATATATAGTATATCATATGTTCTAAGAAAGGAAGCCCTGAGAGGCATGTTTTAACACAATCCTGGTGATACATTTTCTACGTCTGATCTAAATAGTGTTCCCAGGATAATCTTTCTTAGTTCCTTAATGTATTTATTTTCCAGGTCGGGAAAAGGGTGTTACCAGGTGAAAAGCTCTCAATACAATAAAGGCACAAACATGTGAGAACAATTCAAACTAACTTGGAAGAAACAACGTATGGTTTTGGTCTTTAAACATTTAAAACATGGGCATATGGTGACAGAGTTTTCACAGTTAGAAGAAAAACCTCTTAGACAAATAATCCTGGTAAAACCTTATTTGTACCTGGTTAAACACTTTTTACCACCTGTTTCTCAGATGAAAAATAACAAACGTTTTTAAGATTATCCTGGCAAAACTTTTCTTACATGTTTTACATCATTACATAGTTAATTACCTAATTTGGCTCTCAGGATAAATGTACTCTCATTTGTGCACAGTACAGATTTTACTGTCTGTTTTGCATATTTTCACCCAGCTGTTCCTCCCTTGTCCTCCAGGGGTCCTCAGTGTGCCGCTGATCTGCACACCTGTTGCTGATCCCCTCATTAGCTGCTCTCTGCCTCACCTGCATCTCGTTAGTCTTCCCTCAATGTGGATATTAAAGGTATGTTGTCACTGTTCATGTTGTCTCCTCTGGTTTAGTCAGGTAAGCTCTTTGTTTTCTGAGTATTAATACTGTAAAACATGTACTGTGCACTAATGCTGAAAAAACAGATCCTGAGAGACTAATGAGGTGATAAATGATCTTAGGCTCATCTAAAAGGATTTATCCCCTTTTCTATGACTGGTTTATAACATGAGGGAAAGGGTTTTCCCAGGATACAAGTCTAATCTTTGAAACAGACGGCGGAAAAAAGTTTAACCAGGTAGAAATAAGGTTTTAAGATACTTGATCTAAGATAGCTGTTTTCCCATCTGTGATAACCATAACCCCAATGTGTTGAATAGGATTAAACCATTCATTCTTCCAGGTTAGTTTTAATATCTGAAACCCTCAATTCTCACATATTTGGACCTTTTTGCGTATTTAGATAAAGCTCAAAATGATCTGCCCTTAAGAATCGCCCAGAGGATGATTATGTGGTGATTGTAATGATTGCAATTTCCAGAACGACAGTGTTATTTGTTTATCTAATAGCTGATTTGTTATAAAAACAGGATTCTGTGGTTTTGTACTTTGTGTAACAGGCCTTCAGTAATGTTGGCAGTTAAAGCACAGTGTGATATACTCACCCAGCAGGACTGCCAGGATGGGCCCGAAGACTTTGTCATGCATCAGAGCCTCCCTCTCATAATATTTACTGCAGACAGAAACACAGAAATAAAGTGTATTAACGGAAAATAACTTGCCCCAGGAACCAGAGGGTGGCTGCCGGTTTAGGTTTGGTGCACTGTTATCTGTAGAGATGTGCGCTACATTAAGGAACCAAACCCTGAGCTGCCCTAAATGCTGAAACACTTTTTTAAAAAGTATTTTAAAACTGGCTAACAATTAACCAAGTAGATCCCCATGAAAATAATGGACCAGAGCTCTACTCAAGCTAAAAACTGAGATTTAACCAAAAAAACAGAAGATACTTTTTTAACAGCCTGAACAATGTCTTATATAGCTGTTAAGGCATAATGGAAAGTCGTTTTTTGTATTATTATAATTCTTTGGACACATTATCTGTAGTTGTTCTCTGGATTTTACTTTTAACTTATGTGATACGATAATAAATCTATCTATCTATGGACGATCCATTTGCTTTCCCTACAACCGTATATGAAAAAATCCCTCATGTATTTTAGCTTAACATCTAACAAACCCCTCCAGGCTGCATGATTGAATGTTTTCTTCTCCGACTTAAACCTGCTTCTCAAGTTGCATTAACTTATAGGCAAACCTGCACATCCTACCGACCCTAATTCCCTTGTATGTTTGCCGATATGTTGACATTTATCTCTGCAAAAGCATATTCTTTGCTTTAATGTTAGTTTTTGAAATTACTTGTATTGTTTACTAAATTAGATATCAACACTTCATCTTATAGCTTAAGTTCTCTCGCTTTTGTCCCTAGAGTTCCGAGGTTTAAATCCCGGACGAGTCCCCAAATTGTCACATTGCTAAAGTAAAGTAATTATTTTTGAAGAACCTAATTGAAGTGTGCAGTCAGTTAATCAGTAATGTGTGAAGTGTGTTGGTGTGTGAACATGTATCGGTATAAAAAACTAAGACAAACAAACCAGAATCCAGCCGAGCCACACAACCCAAAGAGGAAAAGCAGTCCGACTGCTCAGGCACCCATAGCTATAGATGAGCAGTCAACCAAACCTTGGTGTCAGGCTTCTTTCCTGATTTGAGTGTGATTGGTTTATCATGAAACTGGTGTGGGGGACTAGGGCCCGTCACGTTTACTAATGCTAAGCTCAGTAAAGCCAGACTTAGTTAAACTTGCTTCACAGTTCAGGCAGGTCTTTTGAGGTCGCTGTATGTCTGATAGATTGCCTTCGCCGTGGCTGATAAAAACTTGCTATTTATTTCTGAGGAACTGAGACACATCTTGACATTTACCGTGGATGCTTCAATAAATGAATTACACCGCAGTTCTCTGAACATGACACATATTTGCCCAGTGAGTCTGGAACATCAAAACTACAACATCAAACAACACTACTCCAGTTACAGGGGGGATTTTTCTCCATTTAAAAAGCTGATTAACATTGTCATATGTCTGAGAACCCATCAGTGCACTTCAAGTTTAAGGCTTTGATCATTGACGCACCAAATGTGGACAGCTTGTTGAATCACACAGCGGGTGTTAGCCAGACAGGGCACAGAACAAAGCAACCAGAGGATAAGAATGGATCACTAAATAGGTAATTCAACACACTGTGCATCATTCAGCTGCAACAAAGCCTGGAGTGGGTTTGCTGTGATTCACTGCTGTGCAAAGCCTGAAAGCGAAGAATAAAACAAATCACCTGGAGTTGTCCACAATGTATTGCACTATCTTGTCCAGAACTTTCTCGAAAAGAGCCGTTCGGACCCAGATGTGTTTGATGGCCTGGGCGGAGAGGGACTGCGGGGGGCGGCTGGTGGTGGAGGAGCCCTGTCTCCTCAGAGGCTCATGGCTCACACTCTGGGTTCTTCTGCAGGGAACAAAGCACGGGTCAGTTCTATGAAAAAACACAATCACCGAGAAGACTTCGGAAAACAGAGATTATAAGACTTGATGCAACCAATGATGATGCATTCTTATAGTTCAAAGATTCAAAAGATTCAAAGGTGTTATGGTCATATGCACAAAGCTACAGTGTAGAAATGGCAATGGAATTATTCTGACCTGAGCTCCTCCAACAATGCAACATATATAATAAAATACTAAATCAAAAATAGTGCAAAAAGTCTATATAGTGTCCTATTAGCTTGATGAAGACCTAATGAACTGGTATTGTCTAATGTAAGAAGTCAAACATTAAGAGAGCACGATCCTCTGTTGCAGCCAATGGTGCATTAACTGGCTCCTTGGGTGGTCCCATTTACAGAATATGGGAAGTTGATCTTACGACTGTTCCGACTGTTTTGAGCTTAAAACTTGGAAACAACATGGATGCCAAAAAATATTTTATTGCTGAGAATCATTAACCCCAAATTCACTCTCTACCGTGATTTTCGTGTTATATGAGGAGACTTGGCAAGACTTAAGAAGGTTGTTGTTTCTATCTGGGCATTAACCAGTGGAGAACAATTTTTCACGATAATTCTGACACCACATGAATGCAGCAAGCAGGGTTCGAGTTATGTGGGAGCCAATGGGAGCTGAGCTCTCATAAGAAGGGGTCTGAGCTCCCATGAAAGCAGTGAAATCATACATCTGTGGGGATCGCTAATACATTACCAACAACCATTATTTGAATCACAAATAATGCATGTGTCAATGTAACGAGTATTATTTACGTTAACGAGGTAAATAGGCTAAAAGAAAAACATGCTTTCCAAAAGAACTACTCATCGTATTCTCTCTTGAATGACAATATGCCTGCACTTCACCTCCAAGGTGCGCAATAAATTATTGCGCAATCTATGCCTGTGAGCGTGCTGCGCGAACCGAGATGATGTGTTATGTGGTGTGCGTAGTTGAACCTTTTCATATTTAAGTTTGTAGCAAGTAGAGGGCTGCTGCTGCGCACACGTTAGTTTTAAAGACCCCCATAAAGCTCAGATTATAACTCGAACCCTGGCAGCAAGTGTCCTTTCTCACCATTTTTTTCATGAAAATGGCCAGTAGTAAGTAGTATAGACATACAAGCAAACAAACCATGCAAAACAAATTGTCAATGTTCAAGTACAAGTAAGCAATGTGAAGGTTAAAACATTAAAGTAAACGGTGTTTTGGACCAACAGGAGGCAGCATTTAACAGCATAACGAGTTGTTAGACACTGCAGTTCATAACAACTCATTCCTACTTATTACAGAGGGTCACTGGTTGGTTTGCAATAAATCTGCACCATGTCAGACGAAATGTGCCATTCTATGTAAGAAATCAGCTGGCTGAAGTACTTGATGAATATGGAGGCAGATGCATGATGTCGCCTGAATAGAAGAGCACTTTTATCCCGGACCGAGTGTGATCTGTTGTACTTCTAAAGCCAGCAGACAAAAACATTCACACACACACACACACACACACACACACACAAACACTTCTACAAGCTGATGAATGTGTGTGCAGTGTGTGTGTGTCTGTGCTGAGGGGAGCCGGCTGCCTCAGTCACGATGTTAGCAATCCCCCAGCATTTGTGTGTGTGCTCAGTCACGATTTTTGCATTCCCCTACCATTTTGAAGTAGAGTGTGTGTGTTTTTGTGTGTGTGTGAGTGTCGGTGGCATTGCTCCAGGGGACCGGGGGGAGCATTAGAATGATGTCACGGATTATGCTAGATTTAAAAGGGACAGGGTCTTCCTTTTTCTAATAAAACCTGAAGTGTGTTGCTTAGAAAAACACAAGCATCTCCTCTTTTATGCTTCATGTATAACATTTATAAATAGAGGGGTAGTTTCAATATGTTTTAATTTAAAGGTAGGGTAGGTAAGAATGGAGAAACCAGCTTGAGTGCGCTAGAATTTGAAAGTACGCAGCCGGAAAAAAAACTGCCCCTTCCTTCAGACTTCCTTACAGAGCCCCTCCTCCAACACACACGAACGCACACATGACCAATGAGGGCACCAGATAAGTTTGTGCACGAGATGGAAGGCTGACAGGCAGTAAAAAGCACGACCAATTATTTTAGCCGGCCCGGCTTTTTACAGCGCTACGGCTTCCACAGATGACATATTTGTATGTATTTATTGTCAAAGCATTTAATGTATTCATTGCTATCGGGATGTTAAGAGCATTCCATGGAATATAACAAAAAGTGTTTCTGAAGTGAATTACCTACCCCACCTTTAAGGTATAAGTTGTTTTTGTTGTTACTTGTGCTGCCTTAAATTCCAATATACTTTCTTCCACAAAGGATGATAGTTTAAGTCTAATTGTGGTCTGGTTCCAGGTCAAAAGTCAACTGTGCAACCAAAATCTCTCCTTATGATTAAACAGGTTAATGCTCCCATACGAATGCACACCTTTGATTGTTATGGTCCAAAATATTTTAGCTGACAAAACAATCTCCACTCTACTTTTCGTAGAGCAATATAACATTGCCATGCTCTTCATAGCAGCTTCATTAATAATCCATTTAATGTATTTTAACACTCATTATTATATTTCTTAAGATAACATAAATGAGGGATCAAAACATAACCTAATAAGTATTGCAGAAGAGTTATCACATGATTAAATATCAACTCGTTATATACATCAAATAGAATAAAGATAAACCCTCATCCCCCTCATAAAATATGTTTATGTGTAATGTAACTTTATTATTTTTTAGCTGCTCCGTCTCAGGTGACCTCAGTGGATAGTTATTTTTCATTGCAGTGCTTGTAGCCATTAAATTAGGATATTTCAATTCTAATAACACGTAAGTATTACAGACTACAAAGTGTCAATCATCACCAGTAAGCCTGATCGTAAATGTAAAAGTAGAGGCATGTACTTTGCTTGTTTCTTTGTATTGGCAGCTTTGAGCTACATCACCCATTAGTTTGTGTAAAATGGTTTTGAAGCCTTGAAATTGGTATTTTGGCAATTGCCATCTTGGTTTTAGTTTGGAAGCAGAAGTGACATGAGAGGACTTACTTTCAAAATGTTAACTTTTATGAATTGAAAACAAAGTTATCTGACAAAAACAAAAAACAACAAAAAAGAACAATCCCACACCCACACGCATGCCCTGCTTTATCGTCAATTTGACTCAAATCTAAGAAATAAACATCATGCTGTATTGAAGAGAATTAAAACTAGATCTTTAGACCATAAACTCAATAGGAAAATGTTTGCTAAGGTCATAAATATAGTGAGAAGTAGAAACATGTTCTCATAGACTTCTAGACAACCCCCCAAAGAATGCCGTTTTAAGCCACTTCCACGTTGCCTTATTGGGACTTCCAAAGCACAGGTTATTGAATTATGTTGCTTCAAGTTAAATGTGAATATTAGATTACACAATTGAGCAAACATAATTCAGAAACTAGCACAATGAACTGAATTATGCACTGTGAAGATGTTTGCCTCTAAGCATAATCTCTTTGTAATAACAGAAGGCTTGATGGAATGCATTCATCTCCTCTATGGAAACATCCCTTCCTACAGTGCTCTGTCTCTCCTCCTCCTTCCTTGCTGCACTCTGTTGTTCTGTACAAAAATGTAAAATGTCAACAAATGTCAACATGTAGCTACCTAAATTGATTAAAATGATTACAAACAGATTGCGTTTGGAGGAGACAAATGAATATGAATGAGAAAATAAATATGTCAGGGTGAGTTATGATGCCTCTGGATTTGCATGATCTGAATATTAGTGCCTGTGAATCATGATGTGATAAATCTGTTCACTTTCATTTTGTGAGAGCAAGTACCAGCCATGATTGAAGATGTATAGTTTGTTCTTTGTCAGATATAACAAAACTGGAGATTGTTCAATAAGGTGTATGGTTTATAGGAGCTAATGGGTGTAGGTTGTAAAAGGTATAAGACGATACAAACGAAGATGCATAGAGTTTTTGAGAGGGGCGGGGACACAGTTTTCTACTCAGCGCATTTCATCTAAAGTGATTGAATTAGTTTTTGTGAAGAGTCAAACATAATGCTTACATTTAAACATACCAAAACCTGAAAATCGCTGGGTTAAGTGAGTGCGCTTGTTCCCCTTATTTGCTTGAAAAATAAATTAAAATGTCATGATCCGCCTCAATAATCCCATCATTTGTAAAGGTAGGGTTTGTCTTTGATTTAGTGACATCTTAGTTTGTGGCATACTTGAATACAAAGTTCTTCAATGTGGGAATAATGGCAGATAGCTGTACCTGTCTGATAAATACTATGTTTGTCATCACTTATAGGAGGTACTAAAGCTTTGACCTGTGGCAATGATTAGGTCAAATACATTTATTCAAACCTGCTGGGAGCGTGGATTGCTTCCAGAACATATTTAAATTTTAGCAGATGTATTTTTATAAAGTTTAGCTATATAATTATTCTAAAATCTTAATCTGATTCATAAGATCCTGTAGTTGGTTCATACCACGGTCCAATTGAATCAGACCAAGAATTTTCAAGCGATCTCGGTTTGGTTGTCTTGTCTGCACCCGGGTTTGATTGACAGCTTCACAACAGCCCAAACAATCTGTACTAGCCAGGCAAACTATTCTGGCCCCTGGGCACGTAGCAATGATGTACACATCGCCAGATAGTTAAACCTTTTATTGTTGATAATCTTGTGAAACTGAAGGTAAAAAGCACAAAGCATTGCAATCAATACAATGACATGTTACAAAATATAAACATAAATGAAATCTATAAACATAGATGAATCATTAAACTTACAAACAATGCCTCTCCAAGGTCTACACGAGCAGATGGAGCCGGATGTATGAGGAGGTACAATAACATGTGGCACTCTAGCTGTTCTGCTGGAAAAACATGGCCGCTGACCTTTCAACTCAGTCATGTGACTATGTAATGTGACCTCTACTGACCAATGAA